CTTCTATACTTTTTAGCACGTGGCTATTTATTATTAGCATTATTCTTTCGACGTCTGATTTCTTTTTAATTATAGGAAACAAATTTTTCTAAGGCACATAAACTTTTGGGATTGACTGTATAGCCAATACATCCTTAACGCGTCGCGTCAACTTCTGACCTCTGGAATAAAATAATGAAAGATATCTCTCGGTTCCAAGAAGAATGCATAATACTTAAAGAGAACGTGTACAATAATATTTCTTTTATATCAACACTGAATGTGTCTGCGGAGATTCTAGTGGACGTGCCACGATTATCTGTAACGCAGCCATTAAACTTTTAATCTGTAACCGACAATGCGCAATAAAGGGAAGATTAAAATCGAACTCCTACGCGTTGTTCCCTTCTAAAGAAAGCATCGTGTTTGTCGTCCAAATGCAGGTTTTTACGGTGCACGAAGGCAGTCTTACTATCGGCATCCGGCCTGACAACTTCCGTCTCGGCTCTGGTAACTCATCGTCAGTGAAACATCTGCATCCTTCTTGTGTCCCCTGCTTCATCATTTTCCGTTCCTTTTATCCTCGACTATCTCGTTACCTGCTACGCATAAAGAACTTTAATTCGCTGAGAACAGTTTCGAAACACAATACTCGTGTGATAAAACACGATAACGTTGCTCTGATTTTTTTCACCTGCAGAATCTCTCAGGTCTATTCGATGTGTCCTGCCTTAGTAAAACGATCAGTGTGTCAGATCACGATGTGTTCGTCTTAGTAACGACTGATTAATCTATCGCGAGCGAATTAAAAATAACTGAATGAGAGACTATCTTTCCAGAGGTCAACGAATGAGCTGTTTAATTACGATGGAACGCGTAGCGAAAACTGGAAATTATTCCGGTGGCACGCGTACCCGTAGATCTCGCTGAGAGTTTCTCCTAGTTCAGAGACATTGATTGTCGCACGGCGACCGGACCACCACTTTGCGAAACGAGAACGGATTCCGCAACGAGGAAACGTTTAGGAGAGAACCCGTACTCGGTTCCTACTTTGGCAATGATGCAGATTGTCGTTCTAGATAGCTAAATTGGCCGTGGGTATGTGGAAAGCTCTCGTACATGGCCGCACGGTCATTTCTCTTTCGCCGATCGACCGAAAAGGAATCCGAACGGTTCGGGACTAAACCGAAATCCGATCGAGGATGACCGAGACGCTCAGCGACAAAGCAGCCGCGCAATTCAGAGATGATTTTTAGACCGAGGGAACAAACATGTTTCAAGCACGATATCATAAAGAAACCGTTACCTTTGCATACATAAAACTGATGATACGTTTCCTCGTTCACGTTTTAAACGTTTAATATATTATGTAACGTTCTACGATGATTTCAGCGCTGAACGTAAGAATATTTCTGTGAGAAGGAATTTTCAGAGCGAAACGCAAGAATTATATCTATTATGCACGATTTCTAATATAGTTACATCGAAACTGCATAACGAATTGTGTTTTACTTTTTACTGGAGCGATCAAAATTCGAAATGCACAGATACCGATCATTCTGCAACTAGAAAGGCAAAATGTTGTTCCACACACGTACACAAAGTGAAATATAAGAGGCGTTCGCTACTTTCCTATTATATTTGTCGGCCGTTGCTGCAAATACAGTTGAAATGAAAAGTGAGTTTCGCGTCCTGTTCCCGAACGGCATTAATTAGATATGATAATTTATCGGTGCAAATGTAACCAGATTTGCGGAAAGTGAACGTAGTCCGAAACTATAGCTATCGTGTTACGCTTGAAAACTGCTTGAAAATCACCTTCTCTTCCTCCGAGATCTAATTCCGTGCATCTTTCCATTTCTGAGCCTAAGTAATTACGTTGCATAATGGCAACTAATGATCCGGTTAATTGAGAGATGAAATTTAATTGTCAGCGACTCGATTATACCGATTTATTCTTACACGTACAGAGAAAATGGAAACCTGAGTTTCCTAAGCGAATGAATGTTACTCGTTCGTAACTTAAAAATTGCATTTCTATTTAAGGAGGCAAGTGAACGGATTAAGAAAACTGCATTCACTGCAGCCCTCTGATCTCACTAATCAGTCTATAGAAATATGAAATGGGTACTAATGTAATGTACAGTTTTTCGAGCTCAGTGGCCGTATGTACCTTTCTTCTTTTTCATATTGAACGAACACGATGAGATCCTGCCGCGTTAGATCGCCGAACAAAAGCGTTGCACCAGTGACGTAATGCATTTATGAGATAATACGGCGACATGGCGAGCTTAGGCACATGATCCCAATGAGACGCAATGCTCGTTCGACGTTCAGCAATATTTTCTGAACAGGAACACTAATTATTCTCGCCTCCTATTAATTACCACTAATTATTCATCAATTATAATTTTATCTCGTTTCTTCCAGTAACTCCACATCCTATCGTCTGCTCGACAAAAGACCCGCTTGTAAAATGAATTTTTCTACTGATCACGTGAAACTGGGAATAAAACATGCACTGATTACAACTTAATTCGAGGTAAAACGTTATCGCGGTCATAAATTCATTTTGACATTAATTAATTGGGATTCGTGGAGTAATCGTACCGTAAAGGGCCATGACGCGAAGAGCTCGAGAGAAGCCTAGTGCGGGTCAGTCTCGGAGTACGTATATTTATGGAAAAAAGATGCTGGCTCGGAGCTGCTCGTTTTTCACGCTTTATGTCAGATTATACATACACGAGCAAGTGTGCGTCTACGTATACGCGTTCGTCGGTCACGAGCATCTGCTTGCCATCCGGCTCCATTTACCAATTGTGCTCGTTAATTTCACGACACCACCCCGTTACTCCGTGCTAATTGGTAGCTTAATGAATTTCGTCCAGGCCAAACTGCCCGAAAACTGTCTAATTGTACAACCGGCGTTATGTAAGTTGCTTCTGTGACTGACTCTATCCTGTTGTGTTTAAATACGTTTCTTTCTTTTGGAGAAATTGGAGTAAATTGGAAAGATCGTCGCTGACAAATAAATTTTCATATTTTTATTAAATATCGTGTCAGATTTATGTTATGAAACTTTTACCGGGACGAACGTTCTTTTGTATAACTATTATATTGGTTCACCGTAGAAACGGATAGAAGCCGTTGTGCCTGTTGACCGGTATAGTCGCCCGAGTTTCTGGTGTTCGTAAGTACGTACAAACAAGTAACTGTACCTCGCGATTTACTCGTGGTCCCGAAGCAAACGGTCCCGGAGACGGCGAAGGAAAAAGAGTCGGGGGGGCTATACGCACCGAGAATTCGTTCTACGAGAAAACCAGTCATTACGTAACTTACTTAAGAGCTGACTAAGACCTACTATCGTGCCGCCAGAAATGTACAGTTAGATCTCACGGGCCGATCCACGGCGGCCAGTCTCAGAATATTCGATGTCATACCTCGCTCGATACGATTTTTCAGGTAGGATAAAAAAGATTTGGAATTGTGGCGGTGGAACCACATTATAAGTACGCGTCGTCGCGCGAGGTGCACCGGGTGACCTAGCAACGTCGCTCGCATAACAATGAACCCACGACCTGTTTCATGATTTCGATTCATTTTTACCACGCCGAGAATTCGCTTGGCATTAAACTTGGAAAAACCGTGCAGATTCTGTCGTCGTGAAGGATCGTCTTGGAAATCATGTGAAACGATTGATATACAAGACTATTCAGTTTAAAGCATGTTCCATATTTATAGAAGACGGTTTGGGGCAATCATGTGGAACAGTATGTGTAATAATAATTCTCCCATTCGTATGACTCCGTTATACTGTATGATATCGGTTGAACTGTACTTTCGTGTATGGGTAAGGAAATAGATTCGCGAAGGAGATTGTGCTTGTAACCCAGCAGCGTTGTTCCCAACACAATCGAAATTGCGTTCGAACATCTGTCGTCGATGCATATCTTATTTTAACGCGCAGCGTATCTCTCACAGTATAATGAGAATGTTTAGTTAATTACAACGAAAATGAAGAATTATCCATGATTTTATGATACGATCGAGGAGTTTTGTGGCATATATAAAAACACGCTAGCTGCGGAACTCTCGCTTTTGTCTAATAGACGAATTGTCGCGAAATCATATTTGTGAAAGTAGAAAACGTAAGATCGTAGTTTTTAACGTCGACAGACAGAGGAACGTATTTTTACGATGAAGACGTTAAGAAAAACCGCGGAATAGTCGATGTAAAGATCTCGAAAAGCGGTAATTTCATCGCGAGAGCCGGTATTACTTTTCCATTCGAATAGAATCAAATATTTCTTACGAGAGAAAGTATATTGTTACACGCGAACCATCTAAAAGTTTTTGCGATTGTCGGAGAAGAAAGTCAATCTTCTCAGTGTAAACTATTTTTACGAGCAGCTAGAGAAATTCAAAGTAAATCTATGAGAAGCTTCGTTTCATACAATTTCGTTTGAATTATTAAAATTTTAATAAAGTTTGATGCATCGATGTACGGCAACGTATGATCGGAAATATCTTATCGGAGGTAATTACGCAGGTATCTTAATTAGTCTCGAAAGGTTGAGAACCTCCTCCAAGGTAAATCACCAGCACTTGTTCCTTTACGAACAACGCACACGTACAGAGAGCAATAAGGGAGGCATACCGTATACGCACCGATCGTTGAGAAGTTTCACCTGACCAGTAATAGTACTTCCTACTAGTCAAGTGGAGAACTGTACACACATCGGTTCACTGGAGGGATACTCCTGTCTTCTTTCTCTCGTATAACATTCTTATAAACTTGTAAACTCAAATGATGTATGTAAGAATCCTCCAAACTTGATTCTAAACGATTTCTGTTAACTTCCTTTCGTGCGAACGTAATACGCTTGCATTGAGAGAAGAAATTCTTTACATTGCAATTCGAGGGTTGATCGAAGTTAAACAAAGTCGCAGAAACTGTGAATGACGCATATTCGTGAATTTATTAGTTAGAAAATAAGTAAAAAAGCGAGTATGTTCTCAACCTGGAGAATGCTGTCCTTCCACCATCCTACAAAACGGATCGGACACGTAATCGAGAAACCAACAACCACATTCCTCATGTACGTACTAATAGGTCCCCACAACCGCAGAGGGTTTTTCTCGTACGATGACTCCGTTTCATTGTACAGAATGTCATAAGGAAAGCCCTACCGTTTCCTTTTTAAGCGAAATAACATGTATAATATATATATATATTTTATTAAACATGCTATATTTTGGACGCGATGGATCAAACGCGTGCCTCACTCTATCGATCCAATTATTAGAAGTATAAAACTGCTTGAAACATGATCAGTACGTTGTACGCGTCGAGTTAAATTTAAACATTAATATTTCATCGATGTGTATGTGTGTCAAGCATTTGGGGCACAGCTCCAGGCTATGGATCATTGATCGTCGCAAGAATTCGATTTGCGAAGATTCATAAAGTGGCACATCTTATTCTCTGAGTATAAAAAAGCTGTTTTCAATAATTGTCACAGATCGAATGAACAGAGTAAATATGTACTTTTATAATAAATGTTATATCACACATTTTACAAGTGAACCGTTTAATCAGAAAGTGAATTAGTAGAATTTCTACACATTTTTCATTGTACGTTTATTGAAGTATTAATTACATATATTTCTCGTGATTATAGAATGCGTTGAAGGGCAGGAAGGGTGCAAGAGATGTAGAGATGGAATGTGCGCGAGGTGCGCGGTGCTCTTGCACCGTGGAAGTTGCGTCGACACTTGTCCACCGGGCCACACCGCAGACTGGTCGACTCGAGATGAGTACATGGGAAGAATTTGCAAGGAGACAGGGTACATGTTTGGATTTACTGGTAGTCAAGTAGCCATTTTGGTAGGAGTTGTTTCTGGTGCGACTATATGTATTTTGATTATATTATGCGGAGCCATAATTGTACATAGAAGAAAGAAAAAGGCTGCTAAATTAATCCAACAATTTGAAGACAGGTACGCGCAGCCCGATATACCGCAGCACGTTGCGTGACACGATAATTAAGAATGACTAGTATTTGAATGGAAAAAGGCAGACACGGTTCGCTTATGTTTTAGTGCAGAGAGAAGAGAATTTTTAAAACACCTTGCAACGCTCAGGGGAGAGGGCAATACGTTTCTCTCTATGCTAAATGACACCAGAAGACAAGTGAGGGAATTATATTATTCCGGAAACAATGGAGATGGTGCCGTTGGGATACAAGCCTATAGGTACAATTATATGACTAATGCGAATTTTTAATCTTTACCTATTCTTTCCTTAACTGCGACTATCATTTACAGACCAGTTCTCCGTGACTTGGCAAGGATATTAGTTCTTATTAATAGGAGAGACGATGAAATACCAGTTCCTCCAGATGATTGGCAGAGGCTGTTCTCATGGGCCGAGAGATTACTGAGACGATACAAAAGGCATAGTTCTCCGGAGGTAAGCCGACCGATTAATTAGAAATTAATTTAAATGCAACTTTTTTAAACATTAAAGTGCTTATTTTTTTAAATTTTACTTATCTTTTCCACGCAAGTCTCTAAAACATTTTGGTGAGTGACGCACTTTAAGTGAAGTAAAATTAGCGAATGTGATGCATGGAAGAAGTTTGTTCGGAGTGTGATATCGTAGAACGAGATAATTTATGCGGTTAATACAGACTTTAAATGGCATCGATTTTTTATTTTAAGGTGGCTCAACTTGTAACATTCTTGCAACAACCAACAGCGTCCGTCCAAATGAATGCAACACAGCAAATAACAATCACACAATCACCTCAGCCTTATGAGACGAGAACTACTCCGACTAATCTGACTACATTCCAACCGAACGTACCGTTGACAACGTTTCAAGCAAGCGACAAATCAAGTATCAGTCCCGCGAGCTCAAGTCTCGGATACGTAAAGGACAGTCCAGTCAGCTCTAGCCTGGGACAAAACAGTTCTGGAGCGTATAACGTCAAGTTGAGTCCGAATGGTTCCAGTATAGGGCAAACAACTCCGTTAGTATACGACAATCAAAAACGATTGAAACCGTCAAACGCGCATTTCCAAGAACTCGCAATTTCAACGTTCAATCATAATTATAACACTGGCGCGGTATTAACGGAATCCACTCGGGCGATTGAAGAATGTGAAACGAACGGGCTCGATCATGACTTAAATCCTCAATGGGAATTCCAAAGCAGCGCGGAGGCTGCCAATTATACTATTTTATCAGATTGGTCGCCCGCTTGCGAATACCTCATCGATGATTTCACGATCCTCGGTTTTAGACCGCAAGATGAAATTACCACAGAATTGTAAATAATATAATATATA